TTTAAGATTTTCTCTTTATCATTGACTAAGCAATCTGAGTATGATATGTCTTGATATAATTTTTTTCATGTTTCTTGCACTTAGGATTTGTTGAGTTTCTCAGATCTGTAGGTTTGCAGTTTGCATCAAATTTTGAAAAATTTTAGCCATTATTTCTTCAATGTTTTTGGTCCCCTTATCTTTCTCCTCTCCCCTCCCCTCCTTTGGTGACTCCAATTACACGTATATTTGGCTGCTTGAAGTTGTCCCACAATTCACTGATGCTCTGTTCATCTTAAAAACAGCTTATCTTATTTAATTTCATTTATTTTTATTGTGAATACATATGTATATATTTCTCACAAAATTTGCCATTTTAGCCGTTTTTAAGAATACAGTTTAGCAGCCTGAATTACATTCACAGTGTTGTGCAACCATCACTATAGCTATTTCCAAAACTTTTTCATCATTCCACATAGAAATCCTGTAGCCATTAAGCAATAACTCTCCACTCCCCCTTCCCTCAGCCCCTGGTAACCTCTAATCTATTTTCTGTCTCTATGGATTTGATGGTGTTCTTTAAAGCTCCTGAGCACCAAATTTTAATCTCAACTAGTTTCCAAAACATTGTCCAACTTAAAAAAACTCCAAGTTGAAAATTATAATGCATAAATCTACACAGGCATAAAACCTTTAATCTTTTTCTTTTAATGAGCTCTCTCCATCCAGTCCCAAACAGGGAGAATAAGGTCAGTGAGAGGTCATTTTCCAGAACCATACAAGCCTCCTCTCCTCTCTAAGACCTGGGTTCTTGTACAGTTTGTTTTGTAAGATCAAGATTCTCTATCATGTTAAAGTAGAAACCAGGAGGTTAATTTGTGCTGCAAGCCCACTATTAGATCAGGGGCCAGCTGAGGGCTTTTTTGACGGTAGGTGTCTGATTCCTCATCACACCATTTTTTCTCTGCTATTTCTGAACGTTCTATTTCAAATATAGCCAATCTGTCTTCTCTCTTTGAGCAGGGCTGTCAACCTGAGGTCCTGGGATGGTTCTTGAATAAACTATTCAGTAAGTCATGAACTTCAATGGGAATAAAATAACATCTTTATTTTAATCAATCCCTAACTAAAAACTGTGTTTCCTTCATTTAAGGAGAAACTACAACAGTAGTAGCAGCACCTGTCACTTTGCCACCAACAGAAATCAGTGATATTTTCAAATCACATCTTAGTTGTTGCAGAATCTTTGAAGTATCATTTACACGAATCCTACTTAGAAATTAGTGTAGTTCATGGAGGCGCTGTTAGAGCTTGCAATTTAAGTCTTACTAAACAAACACATATATTACCACATCACAAGTTAAGAACTGTATTTTGATTACTTTTTGATTATGTTTAATATTTTGGCTGAATTTCAGTATAATTGGGTTCCTTTGCAAACATACATATTCTACTTCATGAGTTTTAAAACATTATTCTGTGCAGGGGTCCCTAGGCTTCCCCAGACTGCCAAGGGGTCTGGGGCACAAAAGAGATTAAGAACTCCTGGCCTTTGGGTAGGGGGGTGGGCACTGCAGAAAACTTCCTATCCGCAGGATGGCAGTTTTGGCCAGATGCATCTTTTTCTCCCTTTTAAAGGATTTTGGGTGAATGATTGAGATTCATCACTCAAGATTTGCGTTAGTGAACTACTTAGCTGTCTCTTAATACTAGGCACAGGAGAACCCCTCCAGGTGCCAGGAATTTCATGTCTTCTACCTCAAAGGGTCTCAAACGTGGCTGAGTTAGAAGCACCCACCAGAAGAAAGTATTTGAATCATCATTGGTACAGCAGTTCCATTTCTGAAGGAAATGTACACCTTCAGGGCCATGAAATACCTGGCTTTCCATTGTGAGGGGGTAGGCACAGGTCTGGACCCCTCCCACCCTCCCCCAGCACACATACCTCAATTCCTATGGCAGTGACCTCCTTGGAGGAAGTTCAGCCTCACGTCTAGAGGTAGGACACAGAATGTTTCCCACTTCTTGGTCTGGCTGGTGGGTGGCTGAGGGAGGGAAAATTCACTCCATGTGGTCAGGCCTGGGTGCCCTCCCAGGGAGACCCTGCACCCTTGGTTTCCCCTGGAGCACTCTGAGACCAGGGGACCCTCGGTCAAGCGCATGGGCCCAGATCTAGCCTCAGTGTAGATCTGCCTTGGGATCAAGGGCCCCTCCCAGGAGAGTGTATCAACGGCAGCGGCTTCCTCTCCATGGCTCTGAGTTCTACATCTGAGAGGTATGGGGTAGCCGAATCACCCTTCTGTGGCTTATGGAGGGGGACATTGAACCCCATCTCTTACCTGAAGGAGAGCTGGGAGGTTGACAGCAAAGGGTTGGATGATGTGGTCCTGGGCTGGAGAGAGACTGACAGTCCTTCGGAGCCTCTTGGTGAAGACAACAAGATAGCTCTTCCTTGTCTTGTAGGCATGGGGATTGGACTCTGTGTTCTCCACCGCCCCTTTCAGGTGGCACAATTCAAGGGGGTCCAGCAGGGGCTGTACTGTCCTCCAAGGCTCAAGGCAGAGAACTCTCACACCTCCTGTCCTCCCCTCTTCCCATCAGTCTATGGATGATCGGTCTTCTATCGCTTGTCTCCTCCTGGCCCCCGGCCTCATTTTTTGCCCCCTCTAGTTCATCCTCCCCCTATCCTTAGGCCCCAGGGTGATCTGTCTAAAACACAAAACTGACCATCTCTGCTCTCAGGAGGTAAAGTGGCCACCAAGGCCCAAGGTGGCCGACTGTGTCAGAAGGGAGGGACAGGAGGGCTGAAGAGTGGCACACCCCATGTTCAAGCCTCAGTTCCACCCCTGAGGCCACCTCTGAAACTTTCCAAGGGGCAAATCCACTGAGGGAACAAGGATGAAGCTCAGGCTTGGGGGTAATATCTGGGGCTCAGCTGTCTTGCTGGAGGAGAGGAATCTATTCTGAGAGGCAGAAGGCAGTCAGAGCTCTCACCAGCCCCTGGTCCCCCGCCCAGCCTGAGCTTCATCCCAGACCCTCCCTCTGCTCCTGTCTGAGTGGGATAGGGGCTTATACCCGGCCTGGCACAGACCCCAAACCAACAGGGCACAGGGGCAGGAGCACAGAGGGGCTCCAGCCACAAGGATGGAGATGCCAGAAGCTAAGGTCCAGGCTGCTCTGAGCACCAGCCTTGTACTCCCTCACCATGGTGGCAGCAGGAGCCCTGCTCAGTCACATCTTGGTCATTTTGTGAATTGGGACTGGGTAACTCAGACAGCAAAGCTCTGGGAACCCCCCCCCCCAAGGGTGTGAGTGCCCCTCCTATCTGGAAAGGCTTACAGTGCCGAAACAACAGTCCCAGAAGGACTAACTGTCTGGGGGTCTGAAATGCACATCGTGGATGCAGGCCCTGCAAGGGCACCCCTGGAAAGGGGGACCATCGGTCTGTGACCCCAGGTGGGGAGGTAGAGTTTGGAATGGGGAAGTGGGAGGTGGCTTTGGCTCAGCAGGAACAAGATCCTTCTCAGAAGGACCCCTGCCTGATGGCTGGAGGGCTGGGACCTGGAGCAGGCCGGGTCTCCAGGTGGGAGCCACAGCTGGATCTCTGCTTGAAGGAAGGCCAAGGGGCTGGGGTGGGGACTGGGTGCAGGTAGGGTGGAGGAAGGCCCTCCAGGTCGCTTGCAAGTCTGAATCTAGATCAAAGGTGAGAAACCCAGCCTCTTCCACTGCCCAATCCCCCAGTAGGCAAATGTGGAGGAATCCTGTCCACACTGCCAGGACCTCCATGACGAACTAAAGGACACGGTTACTCTCTCCTCCCCAGGGTCCAAGTCATCCCCGGGTATTCAAAGCACCCATATTTGGCCTCACTCCTCATCTTTCACGGTGTCCCTGGATGATCCCTCCCTTCTACCCTCCCCCACCCCTCATTCTTGCTCCCAAAGCCTCTGCTCAGTCACCCCTCCCCCACCGCCTCTTTCACAGCTCCACTCAAGCCCCCTCCCCAATCCCTATGGGCCTTTTGGGCCCAGCGCTTTATCTCTGCACCTTATTCACGTACTGACCATTGTCTCCTGGCCTGACTCGCCCAAGGGGGAACCAGGTCCCCTAAGACAGAGCCTGGTGGGTGTCGGGCAGGTGCCAGGCCACGGTGGGCTGCTCGAGAGTGCTGGGTGTGGCGTCCCCTTCTGCCCGGCAGTCCCAGGGGGAGCCGTGCCCGAGGCCAGGGCCGGAGAAAGGACGACAGGAGAGCCAGGTGCAGTCCCTAAAACAGACTCTTTAATAACATTATGTCTTCACTGAAGAGCTTCGCTTTCCCACCCAGCGCCGGGCGGGGGCTGGCAGGGTCCGCTGGACCGACGGCCACGTGGGTCCATCGCCCCGCGTCGGGGCACGTCCTGGTGGCCCCAGGGCCTTGGCGCCGCCCGTGCCCGGCTAGTAGAAGGAGTA